AGTGGAGTTCAATCTCTGTCGGGTGTGAGTCGGTTATCCACTTCAGACAATGGATGGAGAGTTGGACAAGATCATAGATCAAAGTTAGAGATTAACACCGTTGGATGACAACTGACTCAGTGGTCTGGAGGTTAAGCGTTTGCGTGCTAGATCGAATATCCTTAGTTCGAAGTCCCCATGAGTGATCGTGGATGTGCTCTCCGTCCAATTGTTTCAGAATTTCAGTGGTGGTTTAGCTTAGATTGACACATAAATTCAACAATTAAAATGTATAAATACAGATGTATCAAATACCCACTCATTCAAACATTTTGTTAATTAAAGTTTCCTAGCTATTTTCCAGCCTTCTCATTCATGTAATTGATTTTGTAAGAAAATACGAAACATAAATTTTGACATCCTGAATAGTAACAAAGTGTCACCCATCATTTTAATCATATTACAAATAATCTTTTTTTTTAACTTGTTAATCTAAGTTTTACGGGTACTATGTCCAACTTCAGATTAGCAAACTAAACTTTATAAATATTACAAAACTAATGTCTCGTACTTTCATTGTATTAGAAAAAAAAATTGCCTAAATTGAAATTTCTGTTTATTTTTGCTTTAAATCAATCTTACCATAACTTCATTTACCTTATTTATTAAACAGTTTGTTTTTTTCAATTACATTGCCCTTGGCAATAAGTATAAATTTATTCAGGTAAATGTAATAATATAAGAAGAAAAAAAAAGTACAAACAGATTAATTCAATATGTTTACAAAATATTGTAAAATAACCAACAACAACAACAAAAAAAATTCAGTTACTGATGAGTTTAATAAAGAAAAATTACACCTGGTGTTAAACTACAAAAATATTATGGTAGTTATGTACACCCCTCCCCCTTCCAATTTTATTATTTTTTTTAAAAAAAATAAAAAAAGGGAAACTTTCACTTACAAAAAAAACTTTACTGATTAACACATGTTTTAGATTCAACTAAAATGATATGGAATTATTGTCTTTTCTATATAATTGAATGTCACAATAAATATTAAAAAAATAATAATAAGTTTCTAATTTATCCTCTACTAACACAAAATGTGAGTTTAAATTGAGTGTATTTATTCTAGGTTAAATTATATGTACTGACTGATTTGATGTAAAATAAAACAATGTAGTCATTTTGATTGTTATCTTTCAAACAGCCTATATAAATTCTGTTTTTGGATAGGCAAATATATACATATAGTATATTACTAGTTGAAATCATGAGTCAATTGAAGTTATATCACCATTAAAAACCTGGAAGCACTGGAAGGTCGTTTGGTCCTAGTATGGGAATACTCAGCAGTGCACGTCCATGATACCGCCCTACCCCTACCCCCCAATCAATTGAATCATGATTTCAACTAGTGAATTTTCCAAAATCTCCACAAAACCCCTTCTGATAATAATCATCTCCTCACTACTGACTGACTTTAAGATGTATGTCGTGGAGTTCTAGTGGAGTTCAACGAGGTTTGTTGTGAGACATCAGCTCACTGAAGACAATAGTGTACGGTGGTGGAATTTCGTGGATTAGTTGAAGTTAGACATTAACATCGTTGTATGCGGCCGACTTATTGGTTTAGTGTTTAAGTGCTCGCATGCGAAATTGATAGTTCCTGAGTTGGGATTTCGTGCGGGGGAGCGGTATCGTGGATGCGCACGACTGAGTTGTCCCATACTATGACGAAACGGCCGCCGAATACTTCTAGGTTTTCTATTGTTGTCTAGTTTCAATTTACTCATGAATTTAACTACTAAAATTTAATTTAAATAAATAAATAACATCGAAATATATTTTGATTAATCGGATTCGAATTTTCGACCTGGAAATAAAAGGAGATTATTGTAAATGAAACTTTAAAGATGCCAAATATGTCTAAATATACATCATTCTTGTTAGATAAGTAATTACGTTAGAATAAAATATGTTTTTATAAATTTTTTTTGATATTTTTGGAATGTAAACAACTGGAAAGAATTAATCAGGATAGAGTTCAATGGAGAATCTTAGTGGACGACCACGAGAGGTAACAGGCGTAAATAAATAATTAATCCAACGTTTATATTGCTAGTAATTTTTATCCGGTAGGTGTCTGATTTTATTTTTGCGTTACATATTTTGTATTTATGTATAAGTCAGAATAGCTAAATAGGTGCTTGACTACGAAAACCAGCCTTTGATATATGAAGTTTACAAAACATAATACTTGTGATGATAGTCAGTAGTCCAGGTAGTCTAACGTTAAATATTTTCAGTTTTACTGTTAAAAGTTTAACAAGTATTTAAAACAATGAGTATGGATTCATCAATGTAAGTAAACATCTATTTCGAAATACTCTCCTGGAACGGTAAGCCTACACCTCATAATGAAGTTAATGGCAATGAAAGTGACAGAATAATCTCGAACATTTTGAAAAATCTAATAATTCATCGGTGAATTAAAATTTTAAATAAAATTCATGATTTAGTACATTGTGTTAACCGTTAAAACTCGTATGGCATAAGAAAATGGATCATTATCGGGAAACATTTTTTGAAAATATTAATAAATTAGATTTTTCAATTCTTAAGGTAACAAAATGATGAAAAATAATAGAAAATTAAAATTTTTTTTGAAGTCAACTGAATAGACTTAAATGTTGACTTTATTTCTGGTATTGGGTTATTTACCGTGATAAAGTCTAAACATATAGCGGTTTTTCGGAATAATCTCGTCATATTCAATGACAATACTATTCTATCTGATATACGTTGGGTTATGTTGGCCAGACACTATCAGCAAAAGCCTACTATGGGAGAGAACAAACTAGATTCCAGCGGACGAAGAAATCAGGAAGAAATTCTGGAAGTGGATAGGACACACATTGTGAAAAGCACCGAACTGCATCACAAGGCATGACCTCACATGGAATCCTCAAGGTAAAAAAAATAGGAAGACCAAAGGACATATTACGTCGAGAAATGGAGACAGATATGAGGAGAATGAACAAGAATTGGATAGAACTAGAAAGGAAGGCTGAGGACAGAGTGGGTTGGAGAATGCTGGTCGGCGGCCTATGCTCCGTCGAGAGTAACAGGCATAAGTAAGTAACTAACGTTGGTTTATAATTAAATCAATAAATGTGAACAATTACTTGTTCAGTTTGTTATACTTTATAGATCTAAACAAATTATCTGGTTATTAGTTGTGATACTAGATGATGAACTTCATATATTTGAAATTGATTTTCGCAAGATAGTCTCTATGGAAATTTCAAGGTGTCTAATATCAACTGTGTATGATTAAATTTTCTTGCTATTCCTAATAAGACACTTTCAGGAGATTTGTGTTTAGATCAACATTTCTCTTACCGGTTTTTTTGTTGTTGTTATTTTAAATCCTCATCTTCTAACCAAATCTAAATGATTCATGCCATGTTTATTGAAAACGGTCTAGTTTTTTGTTACTAATATTTTAATGAGATAAATCTGAACTATTTAGTAAATATTTTTCTGAATATTACCTAATGGTCCAGTACATTTCTTGGTTATGCACATGAAATTTTCCATTCTTCACTTTTCCCTTAGCTTCACTTAGTATATAGAAAAAAATAACATTGCAGTTTTACAAATACGATATGAAGGTTAGGGGATAGGAGGGGGTTCTTTAAACGAGTGTTCAGTTTATCTATCAATCTTTGGTCAATAATATACTTATTTAAAAATAATAGTATCCACATATCAAACAACAGTAAGCTAAATAACAAACTAATTCTACAAAGATGGATAGTGACTAACAGTGGAATTCATGATGTGCGTTTCCTCCTATTTGGAATTCGTTAGCTGGATGCACCTACATCTCAGAGTTGATGTTTACTCTGGGACTCAAACCCAGTACCGTTCACTTCAAATACCATTGCATTATCCACTTCGCTACTGATAGCCATTTGCTTGTGCAATGGTATGAAGTTTAAATTACAGTTAATACAAGTAAAACAACACCAAATGAATTGAATTACAATGATGATTAAACTTGAAATAAGAAAATATGTTTATCACCATATTTTCTAAAAATTTCATTTCAATGGTTAAGGTCATGAGTCAGTTGAAACTAGACCACCATGGAAAACCTGGAAGCACTGAACGGCCGTTTCGTCCTATTGTGGGACTCCTCAGCAGTGTGTATCCACGACCTCGCCTTCTGAGAGATTCGAACCCAGGACCTACTGGTTTCGCGTGCGAGCACTTAACCATTAGAGCATTTATAGAAAAAAAAGTGATTTTCTTATATTAAAAGGAAGAATAATTACAAATCGTTATTTTTAAAAATTTTATTTATCATTTACACTTATTTGTATCCAGCTTTACACATTGGTCTATTTCAGTGTTTGTTATGTTGTCGGTTAATTTTTTCTTTTTTATATTTATTTTGCAATCTAACAATCTAATTGGTTATTACTAATACCATCCTATCCCTATGTGAATAATAATAATAATAATAATAATAATAATGGTAATAATGGTAATAATAATCATAGTAGTAGTAGTATGAATTTGTAAGTCAACTTATTCTAACTATCTAATTTTTTAAAAAAGACGATTGACCAACCAGATATAAAAATGAATTCATTATGGTGAAGTTCTTATTCATAGGAGACGACGATTATAATTTTATCTTTTATAGAAATATATATATATCTTACTATGTTTCAATGTTGACTGTTGGAAATATTCTCATTCAATGGTAAAATGCTTATTTTTCTTGTTCTCTTTCTACTTATATGTGGGACTAAATGTTAATTGTTGATGCAAATGTTCAAATGTTTAATCTTTGAAAAGAAATATTCAACTATTATCATTTTGATCTATCAAATATCATTGTCTATATTTTCACAAATTTGCATTGAACCTAATATTTAAATTAAAATTAATATATATATATCGTTTATATTCATTTATATTGATATCACATATGTACATATATAATGGCACGTATTGATAATAAAAAAGTAGAATTTGTTCATCGAGAAAGTGAATCAGATTGTCGAACATTCAGAACTGGATCTATGGGAGAAAAAGAACAACATATAAGTCGGTTTCGTCGATTAACATCTGGTAGTCTTCGTCATAAAAGTCGTGGTAGTCAAGTACCATTAATAAAAACCGATTTTATTGAACCTGTACATAATATAGATCCATTACATACATACTTTAATTCTGATACTGAAGTAAGTGACTCAGGTGTACCTCGAATAAATGATAACTCTTATATCAGTAATACACGTAGACCTAAAAGATACCGACGTTCATGTCGTTCTGCTTATGAAACACCTAATTATTCTACTGCTTTAGGACCATTAAGAGAAAAACATAAGCTTAGTCCATTGGAACGTATATTTTTAGAAGCAGCAGAGCGAGGTGATAAATCTACCCTGATCCGATGTTTATCATTTTCAAGTGGTGTAAATGTAAATTGTGTTAACATGTTGGGTCGTACAGCAATTCAAATTGCAGTTGATAATGAAAACATTGAATTAGTTGAATTACTTCTTGAACAACCTGGTATAGAAATTGGTGATGCAATATTGTATGCTATTCAAGAAGGTGTTTATCGAATAGTTGAAATGTTAATTGATCATCCATCAATCACTAAAGAAATGTTAGGTACATCGTGGACAACACAGTGTATTGGAATCGGTAAGCGAGAAGAAGAGAGTCATGACTTTTCTGCTGATATTTCTCCAGTTATGTTGGCTGCAATCTGTAATCAATTTGAAATTTTACAATTGCTTATAAATCGTGGTGCCAGAATAGAAGAACCACATAAATCATCATGTTCCTGTGAACATTGTCATCGACTACTTACAGATGATCCATTGAAGCATACTCTTCAAAGAATAAATACATATAGAGCACTTGCTAGTCCAGCATGGATATCGTTGACATCTCCTGACCCTATACTAACTGCATTCGAATTATCTTCAGAGCTTCTTCATTTGGCATCACGTGAAAATGAGTTCAAAGAAACATTCTTATCATTATGTGAACAATGTAGGAAATATGCTTGTGATTTATTAGATCTATGCAGAGGAACAGGTGAAGTTGTCGCTGTACTCAGTAAAGGGACTGATAGCGATGAAAGTCTAAGTGATATTAGCAGTGACGAGTCAGATGATCTACAAGGAGTAATAAAAACACACAATCTGTTTCCACCTACAAATCATATTTCTACATCTTATTACTCTCCAAATCGCCAAATTCATCAAACAAATCGTAGCCATCTTGATCTAATAAATAATCAATCTGAAAATAATCAAAATTATTTAAATAATGGAAATGATTGGCGTGAATTATTAGATAGAACATATATTTCTAAAAAACGACATCATAGACGTTATACAACATGGAATCATCCTACTTATTCATGTGCAAAATTTAATCAAACATTAAGTATAGAAAGTTCAAATCATGATGAAATAAATAGTAATGAAAATTTACATCCATCTACTAGTAAAATTAATGAATTATATGATCCAGATAATCAACTTACTTATAAAGATCATTTAGAAACAACAAATAATGTATATTCATCTACCAGATCACCTATAACATTCAATAATAATAATAATAATAATAATACTTCTAGTTTGTATCCATGTAATATAAAAGAAAACAATGATACTAATAGTAATATTATAATAAAACCCAATTCAAATGAGAATGTATCAACAATGTTAATGACATCAGAACCATGTTCATCTATATTTTTTGAACGTAAACGTAATAGTTTCGATTGGGAATCACCAATATGTAGTTTTAATCAACAAACTCAATTAAATAATAATAATTATAATACAATAAATTCAAAACAAACTATATTCAAAGGAAATAAATCAACTCATCATTCAATATGTTGTTGTTGTTGTAATTGTTGTTATTCATCTAATTATAATGATTATCATTGTTCAAAATCATCCATTAAGAATAGTAATGTCAATCGTTTAAGTATTAATAATAATAAATCATCCACTTCGCAATTGGAAACTATTGAAACATCTGATATTATTGGTATTAGACAACAGAGGAAATTTTATTCATTTAAATTAGATCGTTTAAAATTAGCCATTAAACATGAACAGAAAAAAGTAAGTAGTAAATGATAAATATTTTCTTTATTTAGTTTTATTTTTCTCCTTTCGTTTTTCTTGTGGTGGACTAAACATTATATTAACCAAAAAGGAATAGCAATGAAGTTATTACGTCCAAAAGTTAATATAACAACAAACAACTTATAAATTATTAACGCAAAATAAAGGTTCAGGGACGTTACTTAAATCACCTGGCTGTTGCGCGTTCCGTTGTGCTTGGTACCAAAGATCCACAATTATAGATAATTAATAATTCCAATGAGGTAAATATGGCTCCAGCCAGTTTTCTCGACGTAGAATGCACTAGGAATGTCACAGCAGTTTATAAATATGGTTAATAGTTAATCAATAGTTTAGTTATTATATCCACAGTCATGATAGAACGAGGCATGTGTGTATAAGAGTATATTTATTAATACACAGTTAACAATATTGTGCTATGTGTAATTCAAAAAGGAAGTTAGTTGTCAAGGTCACATACTTAAACAACAAGCACAATCGTATAGTGATAAATGTACAGATTGTGGAAATAAACAAAATAAATGCAAAAGCTATCAAAAACTATTTGCAAAATAGGTTTATTAGGCCTATCACCACATTCTTTTAAAATAAAGTACTTCTTTTGTTTACAGTACTGTTTTAATAATGAAATCACATTTTCAGATGACATGAATTCATCAATTAGAATAGTTATTAATTGAACCAAGTATTACAGATGAATATCATTGAAATGTTAATATAAAATCACTGTTCTTTTCATTAAACTGTTGACTGCTGTAGAAAGTAAACTTTTAAGAAATCAGTATATACACTATCTAGTTTGTTTCATCTTATTATAATCACGAATCTACTTAGTGTTAATTTAATGTAAATGATTTATTTGAAGAATATAAGATTTATATATTTGATATCAGAAAGAGGTATTTTGTGGATAGTATAATAACTTAATAGTTAAGATTATGAGTCAGCCCATACTAGAACACCTTGGGAAATCTGGAAGCATTGGATGGCCGTTTCGTCCTATTATTAGACATTAACACCATTGGATGTTGGCCGGTTCAGTGGTCTAGAGGTTAAGCGTTCATGTGTGAGACCGATAGATCCGAGGTTATAAAGCCGTGAGGCGGGATCATGGATACGCACTGCTGAGGAGTCCCACAAAATGGCGGTCAAGTGCTTTCATGTTTCTCATGGTAGTCAAGCTTCAATTGACTCATGATTTCAACTATAAAACTTAAGTATTTAATGGAACAATGTTAATTGTAACACTTGAAATGAATATTGTAGAACTCTCTGCTTGTATGTTTAATTCACTAAGCATCATGTTAAGCAAAATTATCAACTTTAAATTTCAATTTGTTAAATACTGCATTATTGAAAGTTTTTAAGCAAATACATTCCGAATTTTTCAACATTTAAACTATCTTCGATAAAGACATTTTTTGGCAAGCTTGTTAGACATAGAATAAAAGTTAATTACAGGAAGTAACTTCAGTCAGACTATAATTTATGGATGACTATTGGGCGACGCTAGAGAGACCTTGAGACAGTCCACCTAATAACTAGGACCAAATGAGTCTTATAAACCAATGTGGGGAATTAAAAAATATAATTTACAGTTGATGGTTAAGGTTAGGTATTAGATTTCAGGGTTTTCATCACGAACTGACATCAGCTACAGTGCCGAAACTCCATTTAACCAAATAAATGAGTAATTTTCACGTCAAAATTCGAGACCTGTTACTTTATACATGATTGGTTCGTCCATAAATTATAGTCTCATCGTAACTTCTTTACGAAATGATTTACAGAGGTTTCTGGTTTTTTTTTATAAAATTCAATTTTGAATAGACATAAGTTAAGCAAATTAAACGTTTACTTATCTTATGATTATGATTACGTAATTCAGATTATACAATAAAATCATTTGAAATATTAGTTAGACATAAAACAAAATCAGATTTCAAACAAAACTTCAAGTGAAAATAGTCAAACTGTAAAAGTTAGGTGGTAGATGAATATTTGAATCATTTGAATGAAATTTAATAGATTACTTACGAGGTAATTAATATTGTAGCAAAGAAATACACATGATTCTTATCTACATGATATTAACAATGTGTTTTTTTTATAAAGTCGATATAGTATGGTTAATAACTAACTGATTATTATCATCTATGGTATATGATAGCAGTGTTCAGGTGTAGATAGTTCAGAAACTAATGAATCAACAGTAATGCCTATATAATTTAATCACTGTAAAACAAACGTAATGATTGAATGTTTATAAAATTCACTTAAACCCATTGATATTGGATTTAGTATAGAAATAAAAATTTCAGTAATATTTGACTATTTAAAAAAAAAACCTAATTTCCTGAGGTCTCACGTCATAACAAACTCTATTTTGTCAATACTTAGATCTTAGTTATATATGTTTTGTTGAATAATACTTGAAAAACCTTAACAACTATAAAAAGTTCTTCTAGCCTATTTATAATCACAAATACGTTGAAAATGGGTTTTATGATGATGATGATGATGATGATGATGTTAGAGTTTGTTACTTTATTTTTAGGTAAATTAGTCAATTAAAAGTAAGATAAGATGTTTGGTAAATTATCACAGCTCATTATTTATGGAATTCTATAATGATACTTTTCATTTGTAATTTGCTTGAATAACGAAGTTATAAATTAAAGTTTCATCGCCGTTTTTCTTAACATGTTTTACTGTCTTATAACTAAATCGGTCAGTTTATTGTAACAGTATGTTTGTAGTGTTTCTGTTTTCTTCATCGAATTGTATTTGTCCAAGGTAATTGTTCACTTTTGAGTTTTCGCTAATCTAAGAGTGTTCATTGAGACTAATTTAAAAATATCAGAACGATTTTTGTGGAGATTGTAGTAATTTCAACAGTTGAGATCATGAGTCAATTGAAGCTAGACCACCATGGAAAACCTGGAAGCACTGGACGGCCGTTTCGTCCTATTGTGGGACAGTTCTAGTGAGAAGCAGTGATCAGTGGAGTCCAACAAGTTCTATTATGCGACAGTAACTCAGTGATAACAATGGTGGATGTGTCGCTCAATTTCTTGGATTAGTTGGAGTTAGACATTAACACCGTTGAATGCCGGCCGGCTCAGTGGTCTAGTTGGTTATGCGCCTGGCGCGAGACTGATAGGTCCTGGGTTCGAATTTCGTGATGAGAGGGCGGGATCGTGAATGCGCACTCCTGAGGAGTCCCACAGTAGGAAGAAACCGCCGTCCAGTGCTTCCAGGTTTCCCATGGTAGGCTAGCTTCAATTAACTCATAATTTAAAAATAGTTTATCTGATATCAAGTAACATTGTTTTATTTCCTTAATTCGGTAATCCTAACGTTTAAGCATTAAGAAAATATTATTGTCAGTTGATTGTGATATAAAGAAATCACTCGCATTATTATTTATGCGAGTGATTCAACTATTGAAATTACTACTATCTCTACGAACCCACATTCTGATAATAAACATGTATTCACTAGTGTCTAGCATCAAGATGGACTTCCTGGAGTTGTTGTGAGAAGCTGTGACTAGCCAGAGACAGTTATCCACCTGAGACAATGGATGGAGAGTTGGACAAGATCATTGATCGATTGAAGTTAGAGACTAACACCGTTGGATGCCAGCCGACTTAGTGGTTTAGAGGTTAAGCGTTCGCGTGTCAGACAGAATATCTTGATTTCGAATCTCACATGGAGGATTGCGTATGTGCACTTGCGAGGAGTTCCATACCAGGGCAAAATGCCCGTCCAGTTGTTCTAGGTTTTCGATAGTGGGCTAGCTTAGATCAACACATGAATTCAACTATTTAAATTACTACAATGTTTACAAACCCTATTCTGATTAAGACTAGTTAAAATACAATCTATTAAACAATTTCCTGTTTAATATGTATTATTAACTTACTATTGGAAGCCATTATTCACTTCTTTTCAATTTTTTAATTATTTTTTTTCACAAATCACGCCTTTATATTAAGTTGATTATTATATTTTCAGTCACTAAGCAACGGACTGTTCGAATATATAGATTCATCATTATTGTATAAGGCTGTATTGAAAAAAGTATTATCTATTAACAAACAATTCATTTTACTATACTTGTTTTAATGAAAATATATCAACATTTCTTTCACTGATACACTGATTAGTAGATCAATAAGGTTTTATTTGAATGTCTAGAAGTAACCTAACGATACTTTATCATTATATTTGTTTGACTTTCATCCAAGAAATCCCTTCTCCATCTCATCAACTATTTTGTTCGAAAGATGCCTTTTCAAAAAAATCAACAAAGTCACATTGGGAATCTGATTGATGAAAATACAAAACTTATGTTCATTATGTACTCGTTGAAGTTGAAGAAAATATATTATGTTGCTAAATTTACTTCCATTTAGAAACCTAAGCATGCAATTCTACATAGGCCTCTAAATCGCATAAAATATTAAAGCGCTTCTCATCGTATTCAGTTGTTTGCATATGTGTGTGAACACTCTTTGAACGGAGCAATCAAAGGTAAACATGTATGGCTTCATAAACAGTTAGCACTGAATCGTTAGGCAAAATTCGGGAGTAGAAAACTGTACTTTTTGATAGCAAAACCTCATGGCTACCTGGAAATTCAAAGTATCTTTGTGTACATAAAGACAATTTATCCTAGCCTCAAATAAGTCTCCATAAGTTGTGATCATTTAAAAGGCATAGAATGTGGACAGCTATTTATTCTTTTCACATAAGACTAATTTAATCATTCTATTTCCAACGATCACTTCAAACTTATGAAGCAAAATCATTTTCATAAATAGATGTTTTGATCAGTACATATATTACCAAACTGCATCATACAAATACACCGCATTTCCTTAAATCAACTCTGTTATGTTATTTCAATATTAAAGTATAGAAAAGTGACTAATTATGTTAAATATCCATTTTGTAAACAATTCTTGTCT